AAAAAAAAAAAAAAAAAAAGAAAATAAATAAATAAATAAATATCAATTATCATTTAAGATTCATGGCTGCAGCCATATTCCTCAACCTTTGAGCAATTTCCGAGAAAGAGGGTCTTTGGGCTGGGTCGGAGGCCCAAGAGCTTTCCATCAACGACTTCCACTCCGGATCACACCATGTTGGGATTTGTGGGCGTAATGTGTTGTTCACAATCCCGCCTACAATAGTAACCCCATTTTGTCAATGATGAGAGTTAAATCCTAATTTAAAAGGCTTTTACCTTTTTTAACTACCTGGAGGATCAGCAAAACAGAAGAAGAAACTTTATCTACAATCACTCCACTGTTAAAGATGTCATTTCATTTGTTCCAAGTAATAGGCAACTAAAACCATATGTGATGTTTCTGTTGGAGAACTGAACACCTTCTTGCACTACTTAACTTTTTCAGCTTGTCATAAATAAGGGTAATTACCTAAACAAACAACTTCTCCAGAGAAGAAAACAAAAAAGAAAGAGGGGCGAAAAAAATCTTTCATATTCTCCATTACAAAAATGCCCCCTTTAGTGGTAGCTGTAAGTTATGCAAACTTTATGGGGATCTATGATTATCCCAAACATTCAGGGTAGCTGTCGTAATTGACCCTTATATTACCAGTTTAAGATCAGCTAACGAGCAAGAAGCAAATCAATGTACTTTAGATTTCACAGCTTGACACGACAAGATTTGACATAATCTAGAATCCACATGTACGAGGTTCCCCAAAAACAGAAATGTGAGGCCTTCCCTTACCCTTCGCAGAAAATGTCATTCCATCTACAATCAGCTTGTAGTGCACGAAGGTTGAAGCCAATAATGATCATAACAGGTCTTTCAAAACAAATAATCAACATACTTAATAGTAAAGTACATACCAATTATAGAAGCACAGTGCATATCCGTATAGGGCTCATCACCAGTAAGCAACTCCCACATGCATATCCCGAATGAGTAAACATCAATCTGCGAAGCACGTAATTCAACTGTCATTTGAGGGAGAGAGAGAGAGAGAGGGAGAGAGAGAGAGAGAGAGAGAGAATATTACCTTTTCTGTGACCATGTTACTCTTGCCACTGAGAAGTTCAGGAGCCATCCAGGGTAATGTCCCTCGAACACCTCCCGACACTAAAGTATGTTGCTTTACCTTGGACAACCCCAAATCACCAATCTATGAAATGTTCAATCAGATAAAAAGATCAGCTTCCCATAAATGACCATCCATACAGAAACAGAACATACGCCACCCACAAAAAAATCACGAAGATAAAACAATGTTTCAAGAATGGTCACAACCACTTTGGCATTTAGACAAAGTAATTCAGTGATGGTATGAAACTAAAAGTCGTCAAGAATCCGATTTAGGATAGATTACAAAAAGAATCCAAAGGCTCAAAATACCATTTAAAAGCAATTAAAACTACAAGTGAAAAAACGAAACACGCGTCTGTATTATATAATATGGTATTACACAGAGAAGATGCATTTTTTGGTTACAACGAACCTTTGAAGATATGTCAAGATCAAACTTCCAATATTGAAGAAAGAACACAAGATACTTATTCAAAATCAGAAATAACCCACTTAGCTGATCTCAGACATGTTTATATTATATCAGCGTTTGCTAACTCTAAGGCGGAAAAAAGCTTATTCAAGAAAAGCGTTCCACAAAGCATATGCAAGAAGTTTTGGACAAAGAAACTACAAATTTTCAGTCCTTCAATCTGACCTACCTTGCACACAGGTCGGTGTGGGTCCCTCATATTTACCAGCAGATTTTCGCATTTCAGGTCAAAATGAACAATGTTTTTCCCATGCAAGTACTCCATACCAAATGCAGCATCCATGGCAATAATGAGTCTCTTACGTCTATCGATAGTTCTGCTCGGAAAACAATAAATAAATAAATCTATCATTATATAAAAAGAATAACCTTTTTACAAATTTAGAAACCTTTTCTCGCCGAAATCATTAAATATATTCTACATATAGTAATTGTTGGACAAATCTGAATAGGCAAAACAATCGGCTCATTAATTGTGTAAATATTTGTTTCTCTTTTTATTATTTTTTAGTTTATCAAAACCGTTGTTTGACAATAAATATTTATTCTTCTTTTTCCTATTTTTAGTATAAATCTACACGACTTACAAAATCACATTGTTTATCTCTTCTGTTACAAAATCCCATTGCATACGATCTCACGTGTTTAAAAGATCTCATCCGTCATCTATACAAATTTGGGAAAATAAAATAAAATAGAAACCAATTCATAATTACTACTAGAAATCCATTATCTTTAAAAAGAAAAAATAAAATAAAATAGAAACCAATTCATAATTACTAAGCTAATTTTCATCGGTCTAATTACTAATATTTTTACAAATATTATAAGCTAACCATACAAAAAAGTATAATAATAATTTTGAAATGGTGTGTAATCAAATTTTTTATATTCCCTTGTACAAAATAATTTTACATTGTTTGACCCTGAATCTTTAATTTATAATTATTAAGTATTGTTTATCCTCCTCTTTAATTTATAATTTTTTTTTTCTTCCTCTTTTTAAATAGGATCAATAGTAGTTTCCACTTCCGCATTGAGTGACTCAAACTCGATGTCTATTTATAATATTGTTAATTTAATATTGTTCCCGTGCATCGCACGGGGTACACACTAGTAAATAATCACATTTCAAACAAAAACAACATGCAGGCCGACAACACTTAATAATACCTATCCTTCTTTTGCAGAAATTGTTTCAAAGATCCATTAATCATGAATTCTGTAACTGTTGCTAGAGATCCATCAGGGCCGTCTCGAACTACTCCATAAAAAGAGACAACATTTGGATGGTGCAAGGAACTTAGTATCAGAGCTTCCTTCCAGAAATCAGCAATCTATACAGAAAGTTAAATAACTTTCAATGTAACTACAGAAATCTACATATTGCAATCAAAATCATATTATGTTTTCTTCAAACAGAAATGGTTGATGAATTTTACATGTTTTCTCATCAGAAAAAATAAGATAACAATAACATGTCTAACAGTCGGCTTAGGTAAACCAGAGAAAGATGTCAACTTTCCAAACTGAAGCAAACATTATGGAATCTATAAGTGGAGTAAATACAAAAGCAAATCAAGAAAATTAACTGAAAAATAGTAGATATCATGGATAGTTTGCTGCAACAAGGAATTATATAAATACTACTGTTCCAATTCCTTTCCATTTTGATCTGTTGCAACGCATAGAAGAAGAAGAAGAAGAACTTGAAGAAGAAGAAGAAGAAAAAGAAGAGAATGACTTTTGAAAATCTATTTGGATCTCATTAATAAAGGACTCCGGGCATGGCCAGCTTCCATAGTGTGACGGGCGGTGTGTACAAGGCCCGAGAACAAATTCACCACCGTATGGCTGACCGCGTTAATTATATATGTTACCTAAGTCAATTAGTATGAATCAGTGATTAGTTATAGAAGTTAACAGATGGGTGTACTTTTCTTTACAGTAAATATGTGAACTGCACTCATATGCATGAATTTTGACCAGTACTAATTTTTCAAATCATATAGTTGTTGCATATTATAAATGTGTTTCTTATCCAAATTGGTCAAGTGCCCTTCGTACTTCTCGGAACTGATTTTTTCAATCTTTTCGACCTTAAACAACGAGCATAAATAGCCTATTTAACACTCTTCAGGGTCTGTACATTATATCATGTAATTTATAATTTTCTAGACCAACTTTAAATTAGTAATACAAAAATGTATTGCATACCACCTTAAGGTGTAATATCCAAGTAAAATAAATAATAGATATGCAAATACCAGACGTTCCCTTTCAGACGGCCTTCCAGCAAAGCAGCTGGCTTTTATTCTTTTTATTGCTACATCGGATCCCTTCCACTTTCCATGGTACACTGCACCATATGTCCCAGAACCCAGCTCCCGAATCTCCTCCAGATCTTCGTTCTTGATAGTCTTAAGGAAAAGGAATATATAGATGATAAATGGCATGACAAGGGAACACTTATATCTTGAAAGTGATTATATCTCAAAATGGCATGTATCATCATGTGTTCATGTATAACTCATCATCCATAGAAGGTGTAAACCAAGAAATGTAGAAAGAACCTGCAAGCCTCTATCAAGAGCTTCTTCCTCAGCTTTTGTCAGCTCTATCTTGGAACTATCAACATTATCACTATCATCTTCTACCTCCAGGTCCACATTTCCGTCCTATAAAACAACACAATGTCATTTAAGAACAAGTAAAATGTCAAAACGCATACATTAGCACACTCGAAATCTTACCACTCCATTCTTGTGATTTTGAATATCCTCTTTTCCAGCAAAACCACTCTCACTCGCCAAACTGGAGTCTTCTTCTTCTTGAGCTTTTGCTTTCACCTCCTCCAAACTCTGTAAAGTAGCCTCTTTCATAGAAGCAATTAACTCAGGTAAAAAATCCAGCTGATCATCAGGCGGCCGCTCCTTAAGAACATTAGCATTATTACACTCATTTCCAGCACAATCATTTTTTACTATAGCACAACCTTGAACTTCATGAACACCAGTTTCATTTTCATTACTCTCTGCTCCATTTACCTTAACCGACTTATTAGGTTGGTTTTCATTCTGGTAATCCACGCCAGATGCAAGAAAAGACGCTTGTTGGACGTTTTCCATAGTCTGACTACTAGGAGCAATTTTGACAGCCTGGACGTGAGAATGGTCCTGCATGAGAGAAACATTAAAGGCCGTGACTTTCTGTGACGACTCACTCCACGGGTTCTGATTCTCTACACCGGCCCTCACCCTTGGACTGCTCTCCACCGTCCCCCGTACATATCCCATGGGAACACTCAACGAACCATTAACCATCTGAGAAGAAACCACCGTCTCATAAGACGGGCCCGCCACCTGGATCGGGCCATGAACATTCCACCAGGCAGTAGGTCCCACATATGAATTTTCAGTCCCGTACGCATATGCAGCTGGGTTTCCATAGCGGACCCCACGTTCGTCCACTTGTGCTTGATCTTGAAACACCTGAGCATAACGCTGATCCTCGTGATGGACATGCCCAAGTGGAACACTCAGCCCATTTTCCGTAACATAAACCGGGCGAGGCTCATTCGGGTCTCTACAGTAATAGGGAGGGTTCACATTTCCACGTTCGTCCATTGGCGGCTCAAAATGTGGCGACTCGCAAGGTGGCCTCCACATCGACATGTCTGGATAAACCACCTGCTGAGTATTCCTCTGAAATGTCATTCTGCAACTATCACATATGCTGCTCCCTTCATACGCGCTCGACCCTACTCCGTGAAGCAAGTTCCCGGGAAAGCCTCCCAATTTGTCGCCAGCTGGCACCAAAACCACCCCATAATCCTCAGGCGGTGCCCGGAACCGAGCTGATGAGGGAGAAGTCGGAAAATCGGGCTGGCGGGGAGAATAGTAAGCTGGGCTACACGGAGCCTCCATCTCACTAAACCGCTGCTGAGTCTGAACCTGACCCGAGCCCAGGTGAGGAATTGTTAGGTGTCGCAGGTTCATGTGAGCCATCGGCAGCTCCATCTGGCCGAAATACTGTTCAGAGGTATGCACATCATCTAACGAACCAAACTCACCGGGATGCTTTCTAAAATCCGGCAATTCATTGAGGTTATTTAATGCGTCCACGTACCTTCTCTCGTCACCTTCCACGAAATGCAACGGGTCCAAATCCTGCTCTGGGTGGGAAAACAGAAACAATCTGAGCCTCGTGAAGCCGTTTTCCGAGCCCAGCTTTTCGTACTCCTCAATCATGTTGATGACATCATCGTCGTTCACGACAGAGACGAGGGCGTCGAGGTCCTCGTCCGGCTGCTGGTACTTTAAGACGGCCACGTTTTCGAAAAGCTCCTTCATTTTGGACATCAGGTTATCGTAGGTTATAGGGTGTGGGAGGCTGACTATGCGGGTCTCCCCGCCAACATACCGGAGCTTGCCGTCCTGTGGGCGGGGGAGAATGCTGCCGGAAAAGCTGCACAGAAATTTGAGCCGCTGGCCCTCGTCGTTCGAGTCCATTGATTGGTCAGGGGAACTTGATTTTGGTGATTGGTGATATACGTGAATGCAGCAGCTTCACACAACGGGATTTGCTGTTTTGCTTCTTTCTTCTTTCCTGTTTCGACAATTCCAAATATTAGAGCTTTTTACGATACAAATGAGATATGTTAAACAAAGGACTGGAGAAATTTTTAAAATGAGAAGCTGAATCTAAAGCAACAGAATCAATACTTTCGAGCGAAGAACAGAGTTTGCGAGCAAAATGATCGGTTCGAATCAATTCAAAACGCGCATAATTGGTAACAATTGGTGAATAATACCAAAATGAATTTTACCTGGAAATAGGGCTTCCGGCAACAGCAGAGTCCAGAATTTTTTACTTTTTTTTTTTAACACCCAGAAATTCAAGAAACCCTAAAGATGTCCCTCAAACTTTTACAGATCTATCACAACCCTTCACAATCACAAGCTGACTAGAAAAGATGTTAGAAGGAGAAATGTTAAAAAAGAATCAAAAATTTGTGCATACTATCTCGTATATTTATGTAATAATATATATAGTAATCTAGTGATTAGTTTAAGGATGTCGGGTGTTTCATATAAAGGGCAATTGAGGAGGAGAGAAAGGCCATTGCCGAGAGGAGAGCGTTTGGTGTTTGGACTTTGGAGAGAAGGTGTATAGTTTTGCAGGTAGAGAGACACGTGGCGCCTCCATAATTTCTTTTAGAACACCACAGTGCATTGAGTCTAATTTTAAGCTAGTACAACACTCATGTATTATATGGGTGGCGATGGTGCTTCGTTCATAAACGAATTCATAAAAGTGAGATGGGTATCCGGACAAGTCAAATCCAAGACCGTCTCGGCCCGCGCCCACCCTTACCATAAATAATCAACATATTATAGATAATCTGAACCTAAATATATTTGGATTAGAAGTAAACTAAATCTACCCAAGCCCAATAACAAAGCATGTATTTTTGCCACATAAGATCCCGAATCATGCGAGCCTGCCACATAGGCTCAACACGTTCTCAATTAAAATATAGGGAGGGATATGTGCCATATAAATAGACTTAAGTCTTAAATGATATGGACAAACTGAAGTAAAAAAAACTTAAAAGCTATTTAATGCAAAAATAAAATACTAAGTCTAGCATACATGTCAACCAATAAAAATGCTCAAATATGTTTCCTTTATTAAAAAAAATAAATTATGAATAAATGATGAGCGTTTGGGTTTGTACTTGAGTCCAAAATAGACCTAAGTGTGGACTTGGTCTCTTTTTTTATTGCCACATAAACTAGACCATGTCCACTTTTAATTGCATTGTGAGACATTTTTTAATAGACTAAGTCTATTTCCGATGTGGCATATGATATTTTATTAAGAGACACAATGCATTGTGGGTGCTCTTAGGGGTGGTCCGAAAACCGACATTTCCCGTACTGAACCGGACCGAAATGGTCCCGTTCTGAAAATAAGGTTCCGAAAGGTTTTCTTTATTTTTGTCCCGTTCACGATACCTAATCGTTTTAAACAATGTCGATATCAATTTTGAATACTTTTATCCCAAATTGTCCCCTTTTATTTTATATATATATATATATAGAAATATTATATATCTATATTCCCCTCTTTATATAATTTTAGAATAGGTTGAGCCTACGTGGCAAACTCTCACGCTTCGGAATTCTATTTGGCAAAAAACCATGCTTTGGAGTTAGGGTTAGATATAAATTAATATTTTTTATCACACTAAATCCATGATTGATTTTTTCTTTCTTTACTTCTACAATTAGTTACCGTAAATTATTTTATATTTTCTTCTTATTATTTGAAGATTTTATAACTTTTTTGTTTGTATTTTATTTTTTATATATGATATATAAAATTAACTATATTTTAACGATTTTCGATTTGACATCCATATTATATATATTGTAGCGCCCCGTTCGATTTATAGAATTTTTCGGATTATTTTATTTATTGAATTTTATTTATAAGATTATATTTATTGTATTGGTCGCGAGGTACTTAAATTATAAGTTCAAATACTCAATCGTTTTATTTTAAAACATTCGTCGTTCGGCGATTTAGGTTTAATCGCGTAGTTCGAATTTTACCTGTTTGATTATTGGATTTATTTTGGATATTATTATATTGGCATCATTATTACTATTTGGATTAATTTCCTAAATGATATTATTGTTTGATGTATATGTATACATGAAGGAGTAATAATATATATATAGTGCCGGTTAAATTATTTTAATATTTCCCGATCGTCATATTTTTTTTTTCCGGAAGTCGTCTAATTTTTCGGACCCTTTGTGTTATTTAATTTGGCCCCATTTCGAATTAATTTCCAGCCCAATTTGAGAAGTGATTTTTCGGCCCACGTATGTAACTTATTATTGGCCCATTTAAGTTAATCTTGTTGCTACCTAAGCCCAACATTTTCCTTTAATCGTCGTCTTCACCTTCATTCTTCTTTCACCCCTCGCGCGGCAGATAAAGAAATCCACCACAACAGATCGAAATCGATCGATCGACAGGAAACACCTCCCTCTCTCTCTCCCTCAGATTTTTCCTCCCTCCTCGGCCCTGTCTCCGCCTGCACGCGCCACCGCGAGCCACGCATCGCCAACCACCGCACCCGTTCCCTCCTCGCGAGCCCCCACGAACAGAGCTTCGTTCCTTTGTCCAACGGCAAGAACACCAGACTTTCAGCGTCCATGGAGTACCGATCGACGACGCGCGCAGCCGAGTTAGTAGCGAGTGAACGGAAGGAACCTCTACTCGCGTCCGATCCCACCACCTGCAACCCGTCGATACCTGCCATTTCTGGCGCCACAAGTTTTCCGGCTAGGCGAGTTCCGTCGGTCCCTGTTCACGCAAAGGAGGAGGAGGTCTATCCCTTTCCAGCCATCGCCGACGATTTCTCCATAGCCAGCAAGTTCACTTCTTCCCTGTGCAGCACCGACGTGAATCCCCCAGCGAACAGTCACCATCTTCTTCCCAGCTCCATCGATCAGAGAGTAGCAGGTCCGGGAGTTTACATTGAGCATCAGCCGTTTCGGGCCTTAGTTCGCGTGAGATGACGTTGCCACGACCTTCACCGTCGGCCTTTGTTCTCCGTTGACGAGTCCATCCCAACCCCTTGCCGGCGACCCACTTCAACAGCTTCTCGCCGGTTTCCATTCGCAACGGCCGTCCCTCGTCGGCTGTTTGTTTTATAACAACGACCCGCCGAACATCACGAGACCTGTCGGGTAATTCGAACAGCAGCAACCTTCCTGTTTATTCGAATAGAGAATGCCGATAGCCTAGCCGAGCCTCGATACCACTCCTTTTATGACGGGCAGCAGCCCTTTTCGGGCCCGTGTGAGAGCGGAGTGCCGAGAACCCCAGTAGCAACCCCGTAGAACCGAGCCCTTCACCTTTGTTCCTTGTTCTCTCGTGTGGTGAATGGTAATAGGTGGCTATCCCTTGTCTTTTGATGATATGTGTCGTTATATGATGATCTTGGATTTGATTATATGTATATATGTGATTATATGGTGATTACATGTGAAATATTGGAGTCTTATGTTTGATTTTATGTTTGGTGATCATGTGATTATGTAATTATGTCAAATTGCGTCCGTCTCTTCGGTTTATTGTCAAAACCGAAGGACATGTGTTGAATTCGTGGAAATCCTAGAGTTATAGGTAATTGGAGTGTCCATGATCATGATGTGTTAAATGTTGTTTTTGTGAAGTCATGAGGTTCAAATATCACATGTTATGATATAATCGTGTTTTGCTGCCTCTGTTGTCTTACTGCAATGACCCTGAAGGACAAGTTTTATGAAGGTGTGACCTACATATGAAATGTAGCTTATCATCTTGCCTTTCTGTGAGTTTTGATATTTTGGAAATTCGATTTGAAACGAGTGAGTTATGATTCTTACAAAATTGTCACGCAAACAGTTTTTAATAAAACCCGACAGCTTGTATTTATTTTATGTATGTCTTATTTTTGATGTCTAGATGTGCTCAAAATGGAAAGTGATCTTCATGAAAATTGTAGCTTTGCTTCTTGGCTGTCTATTGATTTTTTAATCATATCATTTGAAGGTCTGTAGCATGAGTTGGAGTCTAATAACTGAAGTGTTGTTTGTATCATGATTTGGTTCGGGCAGAATTTATAAACTGAATATCTTGTGTTTAAACTCGTTGATAACATCATTATTTAGTAATAGTGTCTTCAGTAAAGTTGTAAACAATTGAGTTAGCTGCATTTTGGTTTTGAATCTCCTTAAATGCATGTCTGTAGCTTCATTTATCTTGCAAATACTGAGGTCCTATCAAGCTGTTAAATTTAAATTATGGTCTGCAACTCGGTTTTACTTGTTTGATGAATAAACTCCTGGTTGATGACTTTATTTGTTCTCAATGCATAAGCATTGTAGAGGCATCTCTTAGAATTTCATATGCAACTGGAATCAGGTTAATATGATTTATGTGCTGCAAGTAGTGTCGATTTCAAAATCGTTGCGCGGGTTATCTTTTGAAAATTCATGTGGTGCTTTCGAAAATAAAATTTATCTTTTTAATACATGTTATACGTATTCTACATGATTTGTAATTGGTTGTCTGGGTCTAGTGGTTTACTTTAAAGGTTCCAAACTCCGCTAAAGGACCCACGACCCACTTAGTCGTTAGTGTTCGACTAAGTGAAAGAGTGAGTGTGGCTTTAAGTGTTGGATAGTTGATGATAGAACTATTTTTTATGAATGTAGGTGTTTGATGAGCCGTACTCTCATTCTAACGACTCTCATTACAATTTGCTTCTTCGGAATCCAGGTGGGTTTTATTTGAAATTTACTATGCAATAAATTGTTACCTTACGTATTGTATGATCAATGTATGCATGCGAACCATGTAGCCTTCGATGTGAGCTGTACCGGCCGTCGAACGGTTGTCCCCGTATTTATGAAATGAAACCCGTGGGGTTTGCTCCTACTGACTGGGCATCGATGGAAGGCCGTGGGGCGATTCGGTGTTAAGCCTGGGCGAAGGCTTAGGCGTAATGCCCGAGGGGAATTCGATGTAAGACCTGAGCGAAGGCCTTCGATACGTCTACCAGCAGTAGTCTATTGGTATAAATGTGCACATGAGTCTAAACACTGTGAATTTATGATGAGATTTGGGACAATTAAATGATTATTATACATGCTGCAATCATACTGTTTTTATATACTGATTATTATTTATTGCTTAGTGGTGAGCGCCACGATTTTCCATATGTGCTCACTCCCACCTGAAATTAACATTTTAGGTTAAGCAGGGCATGCATGACGTCGAGAAGAAGCGAATGGTGGTCGGTCTATATGACCAGACTTTTGATTATTGCTTCTGCTATTTATGAACTGAATTTATGATATTATGAATTTATGAAACTCCGAGAATTTTATGATTATGGAGAAATATGTTGGGGAGTGTTGGTAATATTTTTGGGCAAGTAATAACCGAGTTACCCGACTCGGGTCGTTCTCTAAGGAAGGTTAGCCGGATTAAATTGTATGTTTATTCAATTCACAAAAGAGAAAATATTCCTAAACATTCTAATTCAATTTAATATAATGGGGTTTTAAACTAAATTAAAAGTAACATAAAT